CTTTTGGTTCCTGGGGACCAAATGAATGTAACTCCTGAATCACATTCAAGGGAAGAGGACTATAAGAGGACTATTCAGGCCCTGGAAGTAAGTTCCACAGTCATTTGAGCAGATGAAAAGTGAGGTATAGAGGAGTAAGGTCATGTGCTCCTTTGGTCTGACCATCCCTCACTTCCTGGGCTAGAGAGCAGGTAGCTGAAGACCACACTAGGCCTAGACAATACAGGATCTAGGAAAAAAGACCTGTCTGTGCTGAGGGTGATGCTGCTCTAATGAAATCATTGAATTTTAGGAAATAGTGATATTAATCTCTTTTTACAATTGGTCTCCTGGCTACCACTAATAGAGAATTCTAAGATGAATCTGTTGACCATTCAGATCTATTTCCTTTCAATTCTGCTGGATCTGGCATTTCCCATCATTACTGATTGTTCAGTTATACAGAAAATGACTGATTCAGCATTAGAGGAATCAGCTTATCATTGTCACAATCACCTTCCAGTGTCATATAGCCTGTTTTCTAAGTGGTTCCAGGCTGGTAGAAATGTGTGACTTTATTCCCTCTACCCAAGAGCACAGGCAATTATTTGCCTTTACACTTAGTGTTCAGTACTCTGGTACAGCTGCTTTTGCAGAACTGGAAAAATAAACCTGCATAGTTGTAAGGACTCACTTCTCCAGTGATGGTATCTGTACCTGATTTTATGGTGCCTTAAGAAAGGATGGCCTTGGACTGGAGGCATGGCTCATGGCTACTGCTTAGTAGAGTGCCTGCTCTATAAGCACAAAGCCCTGAGTTCATCCTGATGCTTAGTCTAAGAATGTATTGCCATCCAAAACTGCATTTTCCAATAACAGAACATTCATTTTCACCAACTGAGCGTAAATCTTTGTCCTGCATAGAAAATTTCCCCAGGACAAAGCTAGTAGAGAAAGAAAAGGTCAGAGGTGAGCTTTTGGGGGGACATTAACACAGTGGCTAGCTGCTTGAACATGGCTCCTTATTCAACACTGCCACATGCTCATCTTTGGACAAACATTCAACATGTCGGGTAGCAATTACCCTTTTGATATTTTCACCTGAAAATCCTAGGTTAGAGACTAAATTTCTTGGTATAATGATGCAGGGGAAGGAACACCTCCCTGTTCCCCATCAGTCACAACCATGCCTCCCTGGGATTGTTCTGGGTTGGAGCTTCCTTAACCACTGTTGTTGCAACCCTGTACTTTTTTGACTGTGTCTGTCAGGAAGGAGACAGGAAATTCTAGTCACCCTCACAGCAGCTGCGCCATTCCTCCTATCCTCATCCAATGACGTCTATTGGCTTTGGTGACTCGAGGTCAGGAACTGAGCCTTAGCGAAGGTCAGAGAGATAGGTCACTGTTTATGCTGTAGTTGGGCTGGGGATCCTGCTGAGGCTGTTTGCTTTCTTCCTTTCTATACTGTTTCTCTTTCCGTTCCTCTTTTTATACTGCAGAGCCAAAGCATCCTGTTTTGAAAACATCAGACTGTTTTGCTACTGACAAACTCATGCTCTGATACATTTTGCTGAAGTGTAAGACAATTCTTCTAATTCAAGAGGTGATGAAAGTCGAAACACAAAAATTAATGAACGAATCTAAGAAGACAATCTGCTGTTAAGCAAAACAGCTCTAACACAGCTAAACGAACTTGGGTTGCTGGCAGAAGGTTCAACAGACATCCTTTTCAGCATGAGAACAATGACATTCCCTTCTACAACTCCTGCCGACCTAGTCCATCTTCTTGTCATTTTTTTGGAGAAAATTATCTACAATACTAGCTCACCTGGCTGCAACTTTCTGTAAAATTTCTAAATTCCATTTGGCCTGTGGCCAGCATGAAGGAATCAAGAAAAGTTGGATCAAGGAAGAGGCTTTTTTTTTTTTTTTTTAAAGTCACAGAAGCAGTTTTGTATATAACTCCCTGGGCTGTGAAGTACACTTAGGAAAGTCAATTATAATCTTTGACTCATTCACTTTTCTCAGACTGTAAAGGGGTTAAGGAATAGCAAATCAATAACAACACAGTGCTACCCGATGAAATAAACACGAAAAACTGCTTTGCTCTTCCTCCACAAGACACTGACAACTCTCCACCACTTGCATGTAGACTGGCACATCTGTCATTTGCACATACCCTGCACAGGACACCGGCTCTTCCATTTGCACTCTTAAATAAGTTCAGACACTGCAAACAAAACTTAACTGAAATATAAGCAGGAACACTGATTTTTTTTTTTTTGCAAAAAAATGCAGTGGATATTGGTAATATAATAAGTGATCATTTACTGAATTTTTACCGTACCTCAGATACTTTGCAAGTGCTTCAGGTACGTTATCTCAATTGGTGCAACAGCCTGATAAGGCAGGTACCATTTTTATCTCCATTTTATGGATGAGAAAATTGAGCTGGATAAGTTGTCCAGATCAAACAGCTAATAAGTGGTACAGATTGCATTTTCAGCATGATTTTCTAACTCTAAGCCCTATGCTTTTCATATTCTCCCTCTGTAAAATGTATTAACACTCACTTCTAGCTCTGAAACTCAGAGATTCAGTGTGCTTACCCTCACTGAATGCGCCTTCATTCAGTGAGGGAAAGCAAAACAGGACCAAATTTGCCTACATGGTAAAGAGAGTGTTGATGATATTTTTAAACATGAATTTGGATGGAAATCTCAAAAAATTTCAATGACATTCAAATTTTAATGCAGAATATTATTTTACCATAGATAATTCACTTCTCTCCCAAACTTTAGGTGAATTTCTTTTTGATGGGTGTGAAAATGTTCTCATTGAATTATTTATTATACATACTATGATTTACATATTATGCTTAAGCTTACTCAATACAATTATCTGAATAACTGTGATTTTTTAAAGGGATCTAGGTAAAGTGATCTTTTACAAAAATTGAAATTATCTTCAGCTGTCATGTGGGCATCACTCACCCACTGGATAGTTGCTTCTCCCTGCCTCCTTTCCACTGTACACCTTGAAAATAGGGGGGCAACAAGCCTTAACATTGTGTTACTGTGAGGCTTAAGCCTTTTCTTTAGGATAACCTATATTGGACTTTCATTGCTTCCTGCATAGAACACCATAAAGGAGGAGCAGAAGCTTGGAGAACTGGAATTCTCACCAGGGCCTACACAGTGCCTGGTCTTAGAGCCTTATTAACTACTATGCTTAGTATGAGATTATTTCTTAATGACTTTGCAAGACAGACAATGTCCAATGCCAGCCTTCCAGACACAAATGTGGTTAGAATGCTGCAATGCATCAACACTCAAAATGAAAAAGAATTTCAATTTGTAGTTTCTTAGGGAGTATTCTTTTTCTTATCCTGGAATTAGTTGCTTGCTTTATCTTGGTAATTCAGAAGCTGACCATGTCCTCTGTGGTGAAACCTGCTGAAAAATCTACCCTAAATATTGGAACTACCTCTTGTGAAATCTCATAAAACACGGACAAGAGAGCGTCTGCTAATGCTCCAAAGTAGGCTGAGCATATGTCAAAGTCCTACGTGGAATCCCAAGATGATTTGCAGAAGTTACGCAGTAAGCCCACTCATAGGGAAGCAGTTGGTTGGGTTTTGCACCAGCCTGGAAAGTCCCTGAGTTGAGACCTTAACGGACAACTTCAGAGAAGTTGGTAGATAATAGTTAAACCCCAAATGCGTCCTTTTCTTTTTCTTTTTTCCCCTGCCAACTTGAACTCTGAGATAAAATTTCAGAAAGGGACTATTTTTTCCCGTTTGTCAATCAATAAAGAAAGAGTTCCAGAATACGAACAGCCCCCTCCCCTCTGCCAGGATCCTCTCAGGATGCAGTGCTTCCTCTGCTCAGATCCTCTGAATGGGAGCCAGGAGCCCTGATGCAAAGGTAGATACTTTTAACCCCGGGAGGAGGGATGCAGTCACTAGTGCCCCTCGGGGCTGTAAAGGTCAGGTTGGCAGGTGTGGAGAAGACTCTCTTCCCAGCTTCAGAAACGTAAGGCAATAGCACACTACCTCAGGCTAGAATGAGTGGGAGCTCTGAAAAAGGACTCTGCGGAGAGCAGAGTGTCAGGCTTTCCATAAAAACATGTATGTGTACATGCATATCTATAGCTTTTTCTAGATGTCTATATAGTTAAAATTCTCCTGGGACTTTTACAAACAAACAAAAACAACAAGCAACAACTCTCACCATATAACTTATGTAAATTAGCACTCTAAGTCCAGCTGTTAATTAAACAAATGATATAATGACAGATAATTAAAGCTCTTCAACACTAAGTTTTGTCTGGAGATTGTAAATCAAACCTTTTTTTTTTTTTTTTGCAGAATAAGTGGAACTTAATTTCAAACGATTCTACTTGGAAAGTCAGAAAACTTAAAAAAATAATTTTTTGTCTTTGGAGACAGTATATTGTTTCTTTTTTTAAACAAATATGTATCAAGGCATATTGTATTTCTTTTGTATCACAGGTCACCCAGCTTCACAAAAGAAGCATTAGAAAATCCCCAAATGTCCTGCTTCTCAGAAAGAATTTGTTAAATTCGAAGACAAACTATTTTTTTCCCATTGATCTAAGGAAATTATTTTCTTATTTAAAAATATGTGTAAATTCTGATTGCAGGGCAGCATACTGTACATTTTATCTTATGGACTCATTCAGAGTTTAGTTTTCTGATAACCTGTTTTTTAAAAAGAGGCATTTTTATTTGTATAATAGTAATTTGGAAGCTTTAATAAACACCTCTCATTTTAAGCAAACCCCAAACTCTGTCAATTAAGAATCATTTCTGAGAATTAAAGCTTACTGAGGATTTTAAACTTTTGCTGTTGCACCACAATGCAAAAAGTGTGGCACTTTGGAGAAGTCTTTGGCGACAGAGCACCAAACATATGCTTCGGATCACTCTCTTGGTGTCATGCTCCTGGTACAGGCGACTGCAGTTCGCACACTGAGTGTACAAAATACTCATTGCTTACCTTGTTCGAAGCCATCTCACTGACGGAGCGGTAGGTCTGGATGGTCTCTAGCTGGTCTAAGCACCAGTCTAGTTCCTCCAGCGTTTCCATTGCTAGTTTTTGATAAGATTCTTCTGCAAACAAACACACAGACATGTAGTTAGGCTGGAGCTGCTGCAGGCTGTCCATCGCAGAGTCCACACTGCCACTGCGGATCCCGGCGCTACTGAAGGTGCCCCCTTGCTCCTTCATTATTTGCTTGCTGACTCCTTCCTTCCAGCTCTCTCCACCAGGAGAACAAATCACCGTGGTGCTCTGCCTGCCCAGACGGCTGGTGCCAAGTTTTCACCCCCCTCGCCTAGATGAGGTGTCAGTGATCTACCAAGGAACTTCCTCTGAGAAAGAAGGCGGGCAACCATCTCTTACAGGCTCATCTGCATAAGTATGTCTTAAAACTAAAGGCAGAAGCAGTAAAGAGTTTCTCAGGCTCCCTCTGCCTTAGTCATCCTGGGGCTCTGTAGGGTGCGTGATGTCATTTCTGAGTGTTTGCAGTCCAGAGGAGAAATGAGAAACGTGTTTTCTCATTTTGCTTTTTCTTCTAACTGAAACAGACAGTTGCAATCTGCGGGGAAATTGTGTGACCATTCCATTCAAAGACTAGGTATTCATTCATTCCAGGGAGTGTGCTCATGGTGGAATAACTGCATTCAGCAAACACTGACCAGCACAAGTAGGAGACAGACTAGTCTTCTCTTTCCCTGAACCTTCCCTTTAATTAGAGGCAAAATGAGGTCTCCCTGATAAGACTTCAGTCTAAGAGAAACTGTCTGGAGTTTTACGTGAACACGTTTATTGGCTTGGGAGTCTTGCAGCTCTTGTTATACTAAACAAAGCTAAAACTTCCCTTCTGCAAGTGCCAGGATCACAGGGAAATTCTGAACCGGACTTTCAGGTGGAGCCAGATGTGAACACTGCAGATTTTTGTTTTTATGAACCTGGGGGTTCAGATTTGTCACTTTATGAATATACACTTTCTGGAAATATTTGTAAGTGTTCCATATAAAAACAATTTGTGTTTTCAAGATTGTATTTCTGCTAAGCTGTTAGAACTCATTTTCCTTACATATATGACAACATGTCATTCTATAGCCAAGAGTTTGTGGGTCTAAACAAATACTTCAGGGTATTGACTTAAGAAACCTGTGTTAATAAACACTGAATTAATTTTATAATGCTAGATGAATTAATGAAGCTACAGACAGTTAAAAAAAAGCAGTCAGACTCTCACACATATTTGGTTTTTTTTTTGAGGGGAGCAACATCCATTAATGCTTCCAAGCTTTCCGGAATGCAAGCTCACAATAAGACCAATAAAATAAAAACATACCGTATGGAGTGCTAATATAACATTCCTATCAGATTTAGAGCACATTTTTATAGGTTTGTACGGAAATCCTAGTGAGACCACATAGCTTTTTATTATTATGTGAATAATTTTATGTGTGTGGCACACAAATGCTTAAAGCAGAAAGGGAATAAACAGAAGTGTGATTCCACCTGAATGGAATCACTTAGCCACGGATGTGCATTTCAAAGAATTATTGCTTTGTTTATCCCCTCGATGTGCATACACTTCAGCGGAAACAGGTTGAAGTCAATATCCTGTATGTCACACTTAAAAAGTCAAAAACCATTGGAGGTAACTCCTCCATTTTTCTCACACTCCTCAAAAAATGTGCAGACCAGAACTGAGGTGTTCTTAAACAAAGTCATTTCAAGCCAGACTTGCACATACCTTCCTCCTTTCTTCCTCTTCACTTTTGCAATGCTGCCGCCACAGGAAGATTCTCCTTACCCTCTAGTGTGTCTGAAAAACCCCTGTTCCTCCTCTGCTTCCTTCCAAAAGAGCACTTCTTCAAGGAAGCTTTGCCCAAAGGGCAGAGACCTTCCATGCTTATCCCCTGCCTCTGCTAGAAGAAAAAGTCCAACCAATTCCTAGCTACTCTGGCTTTCTTGCCTCGGTACCTTCCATGTGACAACCTGTAGTTCTCTGTAATGCGGTTCAGACATTCACCGGGACAGTGAGGAGTGAATAGTTTGCTCAGTCTTTTGAATCAGCAGATATGCAAAATAACTGTAAGACGATCTAGCACATTTCTCCTTCATGAAGAGGAAAAAAGGAATCCAATTTCCACATCAGCTTCACATAGGAAATACCATAATCATACCAGCAGGAGCAATGAAAAGAGAACTCCTCAAAGATAAAACAATTAGGTGTAATTAGAAATACCTAATACCAGCTCATTCACTGTCCCCTACACAGAACAAGTGATGCGTGTGCTATTTCTAGAGTTGGTCCAATATGACATTTGGGAAACCATCACATTTTATTTTTCGGGCCAATCGCAATATTTTTAAAGCAAAAACTATTACATTTTGAAGTTATGTTAAGTAGACTAGTGACTTCCCAAATTCTTAATCCACAGTCAAAACTTTGTTTGTTTCCCATTTATCATGATAACTAAGGCAACAGGCACAGATGTTAGAGTGGGCTAAGGGAGCACAGCCTCAACACCTGCTACACGTGGATACAACCCAGGAAAATGACCAACGTAACCCAGTCCTGGACTCTGCACTGTAACTTCATAGCTTTGGCATTATATCCAGTGCCGGGTAACCAGCAGACACCCAGGAAATACTTGTAGAAATGGAAACCAAAGAGCTGGCCAAGCTGCCTGTGAAGCCTTGGGCACCTTGGGCAGGGCTGTGGAAAAGCACTAGTGGGGGAATGAAAATCAGAAGGTCCATCTTTCTCTTTTACCCCTTATTGTGTGGTCTTGTGCCTCAGCCTCCCACATCTGTAAAATAGGGCTAAGGATATTCACCTCACAAAGTTATAAATGGATTGAATGAAATCAAATATGTAAAGTACGTGTAAATATGTAAAGTGCCCGTTCTTAGTAGGTGATCAATACATAAGAGTAATTGGCTAACTGCAATCAAAGAATTCAAAGGCTCAGCATGAGAGGCGGGGAAGAGTGGAAGGAAAAATCAGAAAGGCAGTAGCAGGGCTGTGTATTCAACAAAGAGTTTTACAGTAAGTATCTGCAGCATAATTTGCAGGACCCAGTGCAAAATGAAAGAGTATGCCCCCTTGTTTAAAAGCAGGAAAAAATGGTTTTTGAAGTTCAAAAGTATGAATCTTTCTCTTGTCTTCTGCATTCTTTCTCTGTCATGGTGTTTCTTTTTAAGTTTCTTGTTTTAAAATACTTTTAGACTGACAGAAAAGTTGTAAAAACAATACAGAGTTTCCACATACCTCATATCCTGGTTTCCCTATTGCTGACATCTTACATTAATACGGCACTTATGTTCCAATTGATGAATGACTGGCTGGGTGAGTTTTATTTAATATCATAGTCTTTAAGGTGTAAAGATACCATGAAGTGAGTGCAGACTCTCCCAGCAGACCTCCCTGCATCCTATGATGAGGGATGCACATACAGCTCACCAGCTGCTGGGTACCCTTTCCTGCTAGCTGCTAGCCCAAATGTGCTGTGCCCTACCCAGGGATGGGCCCTGTGGAAGTAAAGTCAAACATTTCTCCTTCCCATAGTCCTAATGTACCACTCCACAGTGGACAGTCCCTTAGGAATTTAGGTGTACCCCTAGGGGCACTGCAGCCTCTTCTCTGGAACATGCTTACTACCTGGATAGGAGGTAAACAAGAGATTCCTCTGCGTCAAGACATGGACTCTGTCTACCACATTACAGCCTTTCCAGCCTAGGGCAGGGACAGCACTTGCCATGCCCCACCTTACACTTTGCAAGGGACACTTACTCAACTTAGATTTTTCTTGTACCTGTTCCCAGTCCTGTGTTGGGGATGGAGGGGAGCAGTGGTCATACCTAGGGACAGGAAGAAGGAGGTTGGATGATTCCTGGTGTGTCAGAAATTAGAAAGAAAGGGTGATTGAGAATCTAGTAGCTCAGTGGTATGGCGTTAGCCTTGCATATGCAAGTCCCTCATTGCCACAAATGATAGCAATGACTACAATAAAAACTATAACAGCGGAGATAGGCAAGTGAGAAGAAGTGGGATAGTGCATGAGTCAAGGCTCCAAGTCATTGCCACATACTCCTTTGTCCCATGAGACTTCAAGCCAAAAAACACAAGTTCAAAGGTAAATTATATTTGCAAGATAGCAAATAGGGAGCCCTTCTGAGCATAGGGCCCTGTGCAAACACACAGGTTGCATGACCATGAGGCCAGCCCTGTCTCTGTCTTATGTAAGATGACCTGAGAAAGGACCAGCAAGTGGCAAGAGAGTAAGAGCAGCTACTGGAATTATGAATGGTCATATAGTCAGTCATCCTTGGTTTCCAAAACTTTCAAACAGAGGAGCAGGAAAAACCAACCTCCCTTCTCTTCTTCTCCTCCTCCCCACTCAAACAAGTGTGGCAAAGGAAGACTTTCTTCCTCCTGTAGGTCTGGTAGGTATTGGATCTGATCCAGAGAACCAGAAAGAGAAAATGGATGAATAATTATAATTAATAATCTGTTAATAATAAATGACATTTAAATATCTCTTTTCTTAAAGGACTTCCAAACACAATATTCATTAATCCTTGCAACATCTCTGTGGGAAAGATGCAGAAGAGGTATGATTATATTTGATTTACTTTAAGGCACAAGCTAACTAAGAAGTCAGAGGGTAAATTATTAGAGGCTATAGACCCCTCCAAATTCCTAGCAGAACTGTACCTTAGTCTATGAAACACAAGATTTAGCTCACCACTAAGAGGCACATGCTTTCCTGAAAATGCCGCATTTAAAGTTACATCTTACCCTTGGGTCTTTTCTGTTTAAAATTGCATAATTGGTTTCCTACATGTTGTCAGTTGTGTCTTTTCTTCTCCTTTCTGAAACACCCACCCTAACCCTTAGCACAGGGAGGCTGTGCACTATCTACACAGAAGACCTGGCATAGTTCTCATTCTGCATCTTCCTTCAGTAGGTGACCTCGGGAAAGTAACCTAAGTTTTCTAAGACTGTCTTTCTTTATTTCTAAAATGAGGGTAAGGAAAATATCCCTTCCTGGTGGGAAAGGTAGAAAGGAGAATACACACAAAA